ATGCAATCCTTGTCACTCAGGCTGGGCAAGAGGCTCTCCGATGCTTCGAAGCCTCACTGGAGAATCTCATCAAACCTCATCGCCCATGCATCAACTACCTCTTCCTCCCCTTCCCCGCCGTCACCTCCGATCTCCTCCACCACAAACGACACCGCCTCCACTCTCAACAACCTCCTCACCGCTCCATGGTCCGCCTCTCAAACCCGCGGATTGACTTTCTCCGGATCTGATGTAAGTCTAAATCATTTCTCTGATTCTGATATGGTTGCGTGTTACGATGCTAAGATCTTTGCAATTTTGTAACCCTTACACTGTGATTGCACGCTTCGATCATAATTTGAGACTGTTCTACTCGTGTTGCAGGTTAGAGTTGGAAATCTCTTCGAAAATCGAGGTAGCTTTTGCCGGTTTTTTTTGTTATTCTGTTTTGTTGCAACTACTCGATTGGCTATAATTTTAGTTGCTAATAGTTTTGGTTTGGATTTCTGTTACCGTGGATGTTGATTGAATGTATATGGTTGCTTTCAGGACGCGCTTACGAGGTGATTACCAAGTATTTGATAATTTGAATGTGAAATAATGTTTTAATTGACGCTTGTTTGTCGAAATCTAATTTTGTGTTTGGTTTTCTGGACTGTATTAGGTTCTTAAGCTATATAACACTCATGAAGGAACAGGAAAAGCTGCTATCAAGGTTTACTCAATTTTCTCTATTAGCCCTCCATTATTATATTCATGCATAATGCTCGTGATTAATAGATGCTTATTGAATGTTATTACTGTTGCATCTTTGTATTTTGCCATCTATTTAGTATAGTGATAGGACTTTGTGTCTGATTAGTACTTCAAGTGGAATGTTCTGTTGTATGTGCATGTGTATATACTAAACTGCCTTTAACAAGGATAAGAGAATTAGTAGGGTGAATATTAAGTGTTTATTTATATGAGCTTTGTCAAACATGATTTTGAATTAAATTGAGTTCGTTCGTATAACTAATTTTGTTGATATTGAGTTTGAAGGTAAATGATTCATGTTTGGATGTTTTTACTTTGAATTTTGAAAGCAAGTTTGATGTAAAAGCCTAAACTTTTAAATCCAGCACGATATTACTCATAGTCAAACCAAGGTTTGAAGGAAAAATAAATTTTATTTGACTCTGATCAAACATATGTAGTCTTGCTAAAATCACATTTGATGGAAACCAAATCAGTTCTCATGGTTTCAGTCACGCACCAAGTATTGACACATTTTTCTGTCATTCAAAGGAACTGTTATTTCTGCAGGCTTTCATCTCATGCGGCATTAAGTTTTAACTTTTAAGTGAACGAGAAGCTTTTTAGCATTATATTTAGGTATGATCTTTGTAGCACCAACACCCCTCTGAAATAACCCGTGTCAGTGTCAGACACGACACTCGTGATTACGTTTAATTTATTCATTTTTTCAAATCATTATCGGTGTCACCGTGTCACTGTACGTGTCGTTTTTGGGGTGCCGTGCTTCATAGGGTAAAATCACGTTGAGAGTTTGTGGGTCCCTCTTGAATATACAGCATGACACTTAAAGCCAACTCCTTGTCTCTCGTATTCACAGTATGAGGTCCCTTGCTATTGAACTTCATCTGCCCCCCTCTTGATATTGTGGGGAAACTTTTCATAAGCAACTGTAGAACTTTTTTTCTTTCCCTATTTATGAGAAACACATTGAAGCAAATGAATAGAATTACATGAGTACTTAATGTAGTACTTAAGGCTAATAACAATTTCCTTGGATAATACTAACAAGTTAACCCAGATGTTTTCTTATTGATCTATTTGTACATTCATTGGCGCATCAATTTTATTGGGATGTATCTATCAAACTGTTCACTCTGCTTGGTTTGCATTGAGATAACACAAACAGTAGAATATAATTTCTCACTGAAGCAGATTCATTGAGCACCTCAAAGAGTTATATTGTATGCTTTGGTTAAGTAATTAATTATCCATTTTAATGACCTACAGTGTTTAGGAGCTGAATGTCATGCATTCTACATTTGGTTTGGTACTGGTAATGATAAATGCTCAAGTCTTGTTTATTTATGTGAATCAATGACTTGCAGGTTCCGCCGAACACCGTAGCTGGTTATGCCACAGTTGCTACTACCACGGGAGATGACATCATAAGGTTAGTTGGTGTAATATGACAAGTATTTGATTGTAAAACTGGTTGTTTTTTTTTCTGCATCACTGTCGTACTGTTGGGTTTGATTGTTATATTGATTCTTTTAGCATTCTTTAGGAGCCATGTTAGCTATAATTTTGAAAGTTTGATTGTACATGATTTTTGTCATTTCTATTATAAATAGAGATATATTATTAAATAGAAGGGGAAATAACAAGAGAGGACAAGGTATCCTCCAAAATATAAGTGATAATGAATCTGATTTACAAACTCGTTGTAAACCTTAAGACAAAACAACCCAAGGAGAAAATGCAAAATTGAACCACCACAACTTCTCTAAAATTTTCCTAAGGAACTCCCTCCACAAAATACCTGCACAGAAAGTGATAGAATAATACTGAAATAAGCACCACATGATATTCCCTTTCCTTAATTTCTGCCACTATTAAGTGTTGTTTAATCCTTGAAGTTCCTTTACCACCTTAAATAGACCACCTTCACATCCTTGCCTAACAGATTAACCAACGTCACCCCTTTGAATTAAGAAGTAATTGTGGATCAACAAATACCTTGCATTGCCTAAAGTTGTAATAGAAATAACTTCTTCATCCAATTTGATTCCGTTTACTATCCAAAATGTATCAGCTATTCCACATGCAAGCATGGCAGAACTCCCTTTTCAATCCAGCATTAATAGAATGACCTCTTTGAAGACAAATTTTCCTTACGGGTATTTGCCAACTAAAGAGTGATGTTAGCCTCAACACTTGATGAGAAGAAGCTTTTTTCGAACCTACTAAGTTTCCATCATAGTCATGAAACTCCATGAATTTTTTTGCTAATTATAAGCTCAAGATTATTTTCATCACTTTGGTCATTCCGTTGATCACCCAGTACCTTTAACTCATCCAAACGCAGACCTCCACCATTTTCATAAAATAAATAAATGTCATCTTCATCACAAGATAAATAGATAAATCCATTTATCTCGATGGTGCAAAGGTAAAATCTTCTCTAATCAGTTCTTTACGAGTCTGTGAGAGTTTAACTCTAGATGTGGCTGCCAGAGGAACCTGCTTTTGAATGATTACTTTAAGGATTTTAATAAATTTCAGCATTGTCCTTGTGATCTGAAGTTGTTGGAACATCTTCATATAGCAATTTTGCATATGCTGATACACATCCATCTTAAAATTCTTTTACCAACTGAATCTATGAAGCTGAAATTTTAAAAATTGTACTTGTGCTGGCTAGTTATTGTAATACCTTTTCGCATAAGTGATGGGGGATGCATGGGTTGGCTTTTCTGGATTAAATTGTGCTCTGGATCAATTTAAAACTTACAGCATTTAGGGTTGCTTTCAGCATAGGATGTACAGCTTTATTGAATTGCTTATTCTTTTGTATATTTTTTTAAAATTTATTTTTGTGGTCATGTTGATGGATGGAGCATATTCCTTTGATTTTATGTACTTCCTTTGGCTAATATTATGTAGCTAGGTGTTACAATAGAATTTGTGTTACCTTCAACCTGAAATTGTGTTACCAATGCAAGTCAATTTTTGTGCTTTTGGATCAGATTTGTTTTTTCCCGCTATTTTTTCGATAGTAAGCCTGTTTCAGTTCTTTTGTTGCTGGTTTTTATTTATCCCTTGGCAATTAGTTTTGATGCATGGAGGTATACATATTTACAGATGCTTTATTTTCTGTGCTCATCTTAATATTTGGTTTTGTTTATGCGATGCAAAAAGGGGCATCAGGCCGGTCTTATTTCTTGAATTTGTTCCACAAAAAGAGAAACACTACACTTGTTAATTCCACGAGTTTCCCTTTTTGATCAGATCTGGCATTTAGTATATGTGGTTTGGATGTTCGGTTAGTACCCACTTATCCTTAACCATTGGTTGTCATTTTTAGGAAGGAGCGAAACAGTGGATTGAGGAATCAAGGCCTAAAGACAAAGAGAGAACAGCTCCTAAAAGTTACTGCAGCTGTTCCTCTCCTCTTAGTATACCCAAACGCCTATTCACTGCTCGCGGCAAATTTCTTCGTATTCTGGCACATAAATGCAGGGATTGAAGAGATTTTGGCAGATTATGTTCACCATGAAATGACCAGGGAATTTATCTTCATTTCTCTCAGGTTGTTCCTGATAATAGCAATTAAGGACGTTTTCTTAAACTTTGTATTTGTGTGATAGGATAGAGTTTGGGTGCTGCTGACATTGCCTTACAATAAGAGCTCCTTGAGGAGCAAACTTGAGAAACCTGTTGAATAGTTTTTGTCGCTTCTCCAACTCAGAGGCGAGAGGTAGCATGATAACTTCATGATTTATCAAAGTTAATGGATGAATTATATTTTGCATGACATATATTCCGTTGTCAATTTTAATTATATGATATTGGGCCCGTTTGTTTTTCAATTAACAATAATGAGCCCGGTTGTTTTTTTTTAAAAATAATTTTTATCGTATAGCATAATTTTATGTAAAAAATTTATAAAGAAATTTTTCATAAAAACTTTAAATGAAAATTTAGTTTAAATAGTTACACTTAAAATATTATTTGAGATATTTCATTATATTATTAAAAAATAATTTGGATATTAAAATTTTAAAAAATTACTTGGATGAAGCTATTTTAAATGGAAAAAATGGAAATGCACTTATACTGTAAATGTACACTGTCAACTAATGACGACAATGTATTTTGTCAAATCATATAGAAAAATTTCAAATCATACAGAAAAATTTTAAATTAATTATCTGTCATGGCAGAATAATATATATTGGACAATGTAAAACATAGCTTTTTAAAAAAAATTATTTTTAAGATAAAATTTTTTGAAAAAATTATAAAATTAAATAAAAATTTATAATATTTTAAAAGTCAAAATTAAATAAAAATTTATAATATTTTAAAAAACGGTTTTATAAAATTCACTTTTAGAAAACAGAAAAAAATTATTTTCTTAAAGCCAAAACAAACCGATCTAATCATTGTTAGGATGAAAAAGAGTAGTTTTCCCTATTTATTTTTCCTCCTTTGAACAATCTGGTTTACACGGATTATATAGGATTATCTTTGGTGGAGTAAATTATGAAAAGAAAAAATTATGGCAATATAGCATAGTAATGTTGGTACTTAGTCACAACATTTATTCTCCTAAAAAAGCATAACATTTCTTACTTACAAAAAAATGGTACATGTGTTAAAATAACATTTTTAGTCAAATAAATAAAGACAAATCAATAAGGTTAGTTGTTGAAGAAACCAAGTCACCCTAGTAGGATCAATTGTAGCTTCAATTGGAATCAAGTTTGGACATTAGAATTGATTTCTAAAAACATTCCAAACACATTAATGTTGAATCACGTTTTGAGCTGTAAAGGTGCGCTAGAAGACTTACAACTTGCAACGAAGCACCTACTTTGATTCTGTATTTAATCCTTTGAATGCGAGGCCATCATGAAATTCTTTATGGGTGAAAGGAAAGTGTCATGTAAACTTCTTTGTATTATTTTTCAATCCGTGATTTTGAGCTTACGAAGTTTCTTTTTTCTTTTGTAATGTTTACGTTACAATACACGTTTAGAGATTTTATGGTTGAAAGTTTGTATATTTTGATGTGAAATTCAATAATGACGCACTCTTATATTCTAATAACAATTATGAGCTTATTTATCATTACAGCCTTACCGGACTTGATTGCTATTATCTGGTCAAACTAAGTGAACCAGTTGTTGGATTAATTTAGTAATTAGTCATAAAAGACAGACTCAATAATAAAGATTATCTTTATTATTTATACTTTATTCTGAGTGAAGTAAACATATCCATACTACTTTAGGATCTACATCCATATAAATATGTGACATATTATGGGGCCAATTGAAGATATATGAGATGAATCGCATGATTATTTTGAGTTCTTATTATAAACAAAGAATAAAGATTTTTTGGAGTAAAAAACAAAATTGAAGATTTATATACAAAGAGAACCAAGCCTAATAATAAAATAATGGAGCTCAGAAAACTAAACGGATCACATATCATACGGTGGAGCGTCATGGAAGAAAAGGTGACAGCAGTGAATGAATAATTCGTACAATATTTCTGTAACCAAGATCTCCGTTTACGTATACAAACAGAGAAGAGGGGGACCCACTAAAAAGAATCACCGTCACCTGGCTCTGCTCTGTCTCAAAAAAGTAAAATGAAATTGATTCTCAATGTACCATCCAAATCTAGCTATGGAGCTAATTTCCAATTTCCAAACCTTTTTACTGTGTTGTCACTATGTGTAGTAGTACTGGACACTGTTCAGGTGTTGACGATGACGAATGTTAGTCTTTAATTGGACTACGCCGCCCTGCCGGACGCCGGTCATATGTCATTTGCTTTATTGAGTTTCAAACATGGCTTGTCAAAATTAAAGTAGATTTTATATTTTCTATAACTCTATTTTTATAGAGAATATTAATGTATTCCATTTTTCAAATTTATATTTCGTTAATATTTTCTTTTTTTTTGCTAGTACAGAAAACTTAGTTATATTAAAGCTAATTGGTGATCTTGAACAATGATTATTGTTCTGGCTTGGGCCCGAACACGCCTCGCAGCCCTGCCTAATGATGTACAACCAAGGTCCAACAGGATTTAAGCAGGATGGTTGGGCACGTGACCCCCTCGACGGGCAGGGCCTGCTCTCGCCGAGCAGGTCGGGATACCTCAAGACGCCCTCTGCACTCTCCCCTCGCCGGACAGGCTAGCCCTCCTCGGGCATGAACCCCCATGCCGTCGAGCAGGGCAACGTGTCTCCTCCACGCCTCGTGTGCCCCCTCCGCGGGGAGAACAATACACCTCGCGAGCTCCGCTCCGCGGGGAGGACAACGTGCCATACGCACGTTCTCCACGTGCCCTCCTCCGCGGGGACACATCACCAAACAACTGCCCACCTCCGAAAGAGCAGGTTAAACTCACTTTCCGGGGATGTCGGGACAATTGGACTAGGGCGAAGACCACGTCGTGGTCTTCACTACGCCACGTAAGCCCTAGCAGTCATCTGGGTTGGACCTGGCAATCCAGCCCGACGCAAGTGACCGTTGGCCCAGCGCTGGGGTCTTTCTATAAATACCCTCTTCCTCAAGAGGGTCAGGTAATTCACATCTTGCCCTTTCTGTACTTTGCTCTCACTCTGCCCAATTCCTTACTTTGGCATCAGAGTATCTTGCAGGTACACCCCCCTTTTTTCCCTCCTCATCATCGGCGAACAGACAGCAGTCCAACAGCGTGTGGCCAGTCCGTGATCCCCTTCTGATCAGGTCAGATCAATTATGATTTTGTTTTATGACGTCGTAGAATAGATTTGTATGGTTAGCACTCCAACGCATAAGTAAGTTTAAGATTTAAAATGAGTGTAGTGAAAGTGGAGATCAGAGAATATACCTTTTTTTTTGTGTGAACTGGTTTTTATATCTTAGGTTAAGTGTGAATTTGAGATGAATTTGGTCTTAGTCATTTGGGTCTTTGGCCGGTTCAGAACAGTTGTCCTCAAGAATTTGTCGGTATTATAGGAGTTGGGGAAGTCTTTAGTGATGTTGGCTGGCCTCCTGGACGTTGTCTAGTATGAAATGGAACTGAAACGTCTGAAATCAGTTGAAAAATAGCGAGGAACAAACGCATTAAATGCAGTCCCATAATTAAAACATTTTGTAACTCTTTTCTGACACATGCAGTGACGTGACTAACCAGGGTGTCATGCAATTTACAATGCACTTGAGTTGGCGTGTATCTACGAGGGAAAATCTAGTCATTAATCTCGTGACTTCTTTCTCTAGTTTGTATGAATCTTTCAGTTGTTGTTGCTTATAAATAGGGTGAATTGAATATTTGGATGTATTTTTAACCTTTAGTATTCAAACTTACTATTACTTTTCCAAAAACCATATTCATTCCCTCTTCTTTGGGAGTATTACTAGGAGTGATCTCCAGTGTTTTGTTCAAAGTCTTTGCCTTTCTTTCATTTCTCTTGCTTCATCAATCTCAGATGACCAGGTACCATCTTGAACTCAATCTTTTATCTACAACATTTCTTGTTGTTTGGTTAGGATGAGTGATACTACAGTTAAACTAATGAGAAATTATGAGGGTGAAACTTTGCCTGCCTTGAGAATGAGGGCATCCCATGATTCTCATCTTCCTCATCCTGGTCACAATCCTTTGGACCCAAAAATCATATATATATTTGATGACTTTGATTCAAAAAGGTTATCTGAGAGTTCTTTAGAGGAAGGTACTTCTTCATCTAGCTCGTTAAGAGTCTTTTTTATCAAATGTTGGCGAAGAGGCTAATTGCACTGAGGTCCCTATGTCCTATTGCGTCTTATATGCGATGCAGATACAGGTCAACATGCAAACGAGAGAACGCGCAAAGGATTACATTCAACTTCGCCTAAATGTTAATGCTTGTGAGCCTATGGACGCTGATGTGCAGGCCCACTTGAATCTTCGAGTTTGTCCTGTTGCAGCGGAGTATGCCTGGGTGGATGCAAAAGTAACATGCAATTCATCTATTTTGAGCACTAAGGCTACAATAAATATGAATGAAGTTGTGGCCAACAATCCCTCAGAATGACTGACTTTTCTAGTGAGGCCAAAAAAGAGGATATGCAATTTCTTTGGTGATTGCATGATTCCATTATATGAGTGTCTGTTCACATGAATAGGGATATAATTACCTTTCTCTGACTTCGAAGTGGTTGCCATGAACTATTTAAAAATTACCCCTTCACAACTTCATCCGGAGTTTCGGGCATTCACGAGAGTATTTCAGTTGTGCGTCGAGCATACATCTTGGAAACCTTCTCTTGGGTTATTCTTTGATTTATTCCATCCGAGGGATACTTATCAAGATAACTTTTGTAATCAAGGATTCATCTTTCCATCATGTAAATCCTTAGTTCGACCCCTTTATTATGAACTATGGCGATTCTTGCTAGTACAACCCCTCACACCCACAACCCATCTAATTTTTTGATACATTTCTGTCGATTCTCCTCACTTTTGCCAAATTTTATATTTGAAATACTGGTCCAAAATCCATTTTAACTGAGATGCTCATTCCAACTGCACCAAGCCAAGTTCCCTTTCTTCAGTGGAACTGGTAGTGAAAGAGGAAATACAATCTTGGTTTAAG